GTGTCACCCTTGCAGGGACATCCCAGTGTCACCCTCACAGGGACATCCCAGTGTCACCCAGCATAGGGACACCCCGGTGTCACCCTCGCAGGGACACCCCGGTGTGGCCCTCCCGGTGTCACCCCCGCGGGGACGCCCCGGTGTCAGCCGCCACCGTCCGTCCCCCCAGGGGGGCACCCGCGGGCCGGGACTCGGGGGGAACCCGGGGGGCCCCAGGCCCTGTTGCCATGGTGACACCGGGGCCGGAGGGGCGGGTCCCCAGGGCCACCCTCAGCGCTCCCAGCTGGGGCCGCCGGAACCCAGCGGCTGCGCAGCGAGAGGGCGGATTGGTGAAGAGACGGGAGGGGGCGGGGCTTACGGGCGGGAGCGGCTGGCGATTGGAGCAGAGCAAAGGGGGGGCGGGACCGCCGAGGGCGGGGGCGGAAAAGCCGGGAGGAGGCGGAGCCTCGAGGTACTCCGGGAACCGGATTGGCGGAGAGGTCAGACCAGGGAAAGGGAGGGGGGCGCGGCCTCTTCCTGCGCATGCGCCGCTGCTCAGGCTCGTCACTTCCGGGTGGCGGTGCGTTTCCGCCTCCCGCTGGGCCTGGAGCGGCCGCGCCGAGACCGCGCGGACCCCCGGGACCCCCCCCCGGGCCCCCACCCTGGGACCCCCTACTTCTCCCCGCGGCGCTCGGTGCGGCCCGGGCAGCTCTTCCGGCCCCTCCCCGCCATAGCGGGGGGGCCTGGCGTGTGCCTGGCGCCGGGGGCTCGGTGAGAGCCGCCCGGGGCATGAGGAGGAGAAGGAGGAGGAGGCCGGCCGACCCGCACTATGTGGTACATCATGCAGAGCATCCAGAGCAAGTACTCGCTGTCGGAGCGGCTCATCCGCACCATCGCCGCCATCCGCTCCTTCCCGCGGGACAACGTGGAGGATCTCATCGGCAGGGGGGGCCCCCCCAGCCCCCCGGCCCGGCCCTGGGTCGCTGCGAAACGCTCGGGAAGGAAATGGAGGGTTTGTAGGGGAGGGGGCCGAGGTGGAGAACCCCCTCCGTGAGCCAACGGGGTGCCTCGGTGCTGCGGGGGCGGTGTGTGTGGGTATGTCTGCCCCCGTTTCGCGGCTGAAGGGCCAGGCCGGGCTGTGGGCATCGCTCCCCGCTGCTTGAACGCCCGTCGGGGTGAGGTTCTTGCGGCTGGGCCCCCCCTCCTTGGCCCCGCGGAGGGGGGGGTCTGGGAGGTTTGCCTGTGCCCGGGTCACTCTTACGTGCAGCGGAGAGCCCTGGCTAAACCTGGCTGATCCGGGCAGCTGCTGAGCTATTTCGGGTGGTGAGGGCTCCGCGGAGCGTCTTAAACCTCCTCGGAGATGCCCTTTCAAAGCCGACAAGCTCCCGGGTTCAGCCCGGGGCTGTGTCCCACCTGAGGATGCTCCCAGGGCAGCTCAGGCTGTGCCGGAACCTTGCTGGTGGCTTTTAGATGGCTGTCAGTTTATTTACCAGAGGCAGAGCACCCCGCTTGCCTTTTCAACACCCCACCCCCCCCGCACTGTGCCTGCTGTCGGCCTCACACCAGCCATTCCTCGTGATCCTGCCGGAGCAGAGAGCTGACAGACAGAGAGCGGCTGTACGGGTTATACCAGACCCCTGTGGCACCCAGGTTTCTTCAGGCATCGTTTAGTGACGATGAATTAATTAAAATCAAGCCTGGGAGCAGGGATGCAGACTGTCAAATGCTTTTGCCCGGCGGCGAGCTCTGTGCAGCTGCAGTTCCCGGCCTGAAAACAAACCCCAGGGCTTGCGCGGGAGCATTATGCTGGATATCTATTAATAAATCTTTTCTAACGATGCAAATTGAGGCGCATCAGCTGCTGGCTTGGGGGTGGAAAAGGGCCAAGAACGGGTGGGTTTGCTAATCCCGGCTGCGGTTTCCTGTGCTCTCGCAGGGCGCGGACGTGAACTGCATGCACGGCACCCTGAAACCGCTGCACTGCGCCTGTATGGTGGCTGACGCTGACTGCGTCGAGCTGCTGCTGCAGAAGGGAGCGGAGGTAAAGGCTTTTAAAGAACAAAACAACGTTATATACGCAAAGGTCACTTTGAAAAGGGTTGGGAGGTGGCAGTGGGTGCTGACAAACAGCTGAGATTTGAGCCAACTGTTTTAAGCGGTGCTGGTTTTGTGCCCCCTTGCAGGGCAAAATGGGCCCAGGTGAAGGTTTATTGTCCCAGTAGGGAGCAAAATGTTTGGGCCCAGGATCTTGGGGGTGCCCGCTTCTCTGGGGAGGGAGGGTAGTTTTGCACTGGAAACCTGAGGGAAGAATTGAAACCTATATATTGCCTGATCTTTGTCAGCTCCTTCTGGCTGCTGGGAGGTCGTACCCCCCACTACCTGCCTCGTTTTCCCATCCGCTAAATTTGTGATGTGGAAACAGTTTTGTGCGGCACCGGCAGAGCTTCCCCTGATGCCGGCAGGAGCTGGGGTACATCAGTGACCCCCAAATCCTTTCTTCTCCCTCCCCTTCTCCTGCAGGTCAACGCCCTGGATGGCTACAACCGCACAGCCCTTCACTACGCAGCGGAAAAGGATGAAACCTGTGTGGAAATCCTCCTGGAGTACGGAGCCAACCCAAACGCTCTGGACGGCAATAAGGACACGCCGCTCCACTGGGCCGCCTTCAAGAACAACGCCGAGTGTGTGCGGTCGCTGCTGGAGAATGGCGCCTTGGTGAATGCCCGCGATTACAACAACGACACACCGCTCAGCTGGGCGGCCATGAAGGGTAATCTGGAGAGCGTCAGCATCCTGCTCGACTTCGGGGCGGAGGTTCGGGTGGTTAATTTGAAAGGCCAAACCCCCATCTCGCGGTTGGTGGCGTTGCTGGTTCGGGGATTGGGTACGGAGCGCGAGGATTCCTGCTTCGATCTTCTCCATCGAGCTATCGGACATTTTGAGCTGAGAAAAAACGGCAGCATGCCCTGGGAGGTGACCAGGGATCAGCAGCTCTGCGAAAAGCTCACACTGCTCTGCTCAGCCCCTGGTACCCTACAGACGCTGTCACGTTACGCTGTACGCCGCAGCCTGGGTGTGCGGTTCCTGCCGGAGGCAGTGAAGCAGCTGCCCTTGCCCACCTGCCTGAAGGAGTACGTGTTGCTCCTTAGTTAAGCAAAAGACAAGGCGACAGGGCTGTTCTGCACCGGCATTCGGCTCCCTTCGTCACTGCTTCCTCGTGGCAGCACTGGGGATGAGGTTGACCGCTTGGTTTGGAACTCGTGGGTGCCGGATTCCCCTCCCCGGTCACCGTCCCAGTTTTCATCCTGCTCTGCTCTTCCACCTGGGCTGGTGCAGGGCAGCAGGGATTCACCAGTGCCACTCACAGACGTCTCCATGTTGTGTCTCTGCCCGCAACGCCTGCTTGGTGGCTCCTCCCACGCGCTATCCCCTTGATTTTGGCCTTGTGAGATGAGTGATCCCCCTTTAATGGCAAATTATATCCCAGCTGTTGGATTAACCTGTTTTTTTTTCCCCTTTTTTTGCATTGGGGCAGACTCTGGGAAAGGAAGGCTTTCTGGGTGTGGGGAGAACAGGGAAACCCTCATTCTTTGAAGGACCTGGGGCAGGAAGTCAAGAGAAGGTGTTGTCGGACCCAGAGAAGTCCTGTGGGATGTGTCGGCTGGAAGTCTGGTGGAAAAACTCACCTTAAGTGCGTGTAGCAAGCCTGTATGTTGTGTAAAAGTGCAGGCTGGCACCTTCGCTTGGCGCGAACACCTGCACACAGCCACGGCTGCCCCAGCACGACACCCCACAGACAGGGCAGACCTTGTGTGTCCCCGGCTCCCGGTGCTTCCGGTGGATGTGGGGCATCCCTTCAAAACATGGAAGTGTATTTTTCCTTTCTTATCTATAATTTTTAAGATGCATCAGTGCTGTAGAGGGGAAGAGGGTGGGAACACCTCAAAAGCCAACACTTTGTGGGGCTGTAATTCATGTGAGCGGAGGAAATGTTTCCCTCCCTCTCCAGAGTAGCTCTGCTCAGAGTGCAGAGCGCTCCATGCCCCTGAGCAGAGGGTTTCCCTCCCGTCTGCCATGCAATAACCCACCCGAGCTCTTCCTTTGCTTTGGTTTTGCACCATCAACTCACCATTTCGTTGTTGATTTTATGTACGCGTGTGTATATACAGATTTTAGGAGGAGGCGTGAGGATGTGCTGGCAGCGGGGCACCAGGCAGGACCCCCATGGGCAGCACCTGCTCTCTGTTCGGCACGGCTCGCTCTTGGTGGCAACGGCATCCCCGCACACACCGTCATGTATTCACAGAAATAAATGGCTCACCGCGTGCTGGAAGGTGTGTGTGTCGCACACTTGTGGTTGGGATCATTGAGGGAGCGCAAGGGGTTGGCCCTGTTCCTTTGGGGTCCTCCCTAATCAGGGAGGGTGTGTCAGGATGGAGTTTGGGGGTGCTGCTGCTGGTGGTTTTGTTCCCATGCTTGTTTTCAGCACGATGTACAGTTCCCGTCACACCTCTGAGAACAGTAACGTCACCTTGTCTGTGATGATGCCTTGTTAAACCCTCATTCTGATGAGTTCTGTGTGGGTTTTACCTCCGAGTGCAGCCTGCCCCATCCAATCCCCCTCGCTGCTCCCAGCCACCCTTCACACCCCTGCCTCTGCCCTTGTCTGGGGTTTTTTTGGATCTTGACAATGCACTGAGCTGCATCATACTCCACGTGCATGTTCCCCACCCAGGGATCTTCTGGGAGAGCTGCGCTGTGCTCTCGGAGATGAAGTGAGGAGGGTAAACTTTGATAGTTACTTTACAGGAGAAACTTGGAGGAGAAGAAATCAGATTATATGTACTTTATTCCTCCCTGTTGTGCTGGGAAATGAAGGTGTCAGGACCAGGGGTGCCTGTGGGGCTGTGGGAGCCATGTTCCCCTTCCCCAGGGGCTGAGCACTGGAGGGTTGGAGCATGATTCGTGTTTGCCACCATGAGCAAATGGTGAGTTTATTGAAGCATTTTAATTCTGAATTTTTAACACTAAAGTGGTGCCCTAGGGACTCTACCCAGACCGCTTGCTCTCAGCTCATCGCAACATCCTGCTGCAACACTTGGGGAACCACTTCTCTGTTTAAAAAGCCCATAAAATACCTAAACCAACCCTGAGGAAACCCTCTGCTTCAGTAAAACTGGTCTTTTGCTGAGGCAGCGGGTGCCCTCGGGGCATGGAGGTGCTGCCTGGCTTCCCAGGGGGTGCGAGCTACAATGGGGAGTGCTTGTTTTGGAGGTTCCCCAGAGCAACACAGGGACATGCTCTGGGATGGGGGAAGCCACGCTGGTGATCGCCTCTTAGATGTTGGACTCGAGTGAGATCCTCTTGCGTGTGACATGCTCCAGGTGGGCTTTCTCTGAGGTGTCCAGCTCGATGTTGTACTTGGCCAGGATTTTTAGGATGGGACGAAGCTTCAGCCACCACTGCTCCTTGGGGATGCGGTGCCTGTGAGAGAGAGAGAGGGTGGTGTGATGGTCCTGGGTGGAAACAGCGCTACATCGCCTGGGGAAGCGTTCCCAGCCTGTATTTATCCTTCCCAGGGTTGGGGCACAGTCTTGCGGTGGAGGGGGAAGGGGGGTACCTACTCAAAATCTGTCTGCTCCTTGAGGTCAGCGATGGGCTGAAAGACGAGGCTGCGCTTGCGCATACCCAGCAGACAAGCCGAGTCAGCCGTGTTGGCGAAGATCCGACCTGTGAGGGGAGGTGGGGAGTGAGCTCAGCGTTTTGGACCCTTGAGGAGGGGAGAGCACCCCCCAAAATGTGCACGGGAGTCCTTTGTATTGAGATATCAGAACACGCATGCACATTGGGAAAGAGCCAGGCATTTTCTTTTGGCCATCCCACCCTGTGGCTGTGGGGAAGGGTAGGGGCCTTTGGAAACAAGGCAGAGAAACCCCCCAGGTGTGGCACCCACCGTGCCGGGAGCACTCCTTGATCTTCCCGGTGATCCAGGCCACTGCCTTGGCACCCATTTTGGTGCCGAAGTTCCTGTCGAAGGGGGTCGGGGTGCCGCCCTGCACCGGAAAAGTCACTGGGTGAACACGGGGAAGCCCCAAGCAAGGGTCTCCCAACCTGCAGCCCCATCCCTGGGGGCCACATTCCTGTTCCCTGGGGAGGGTCTGTACCTGCTGCATGTGCCCCAGCACATTTTTCCGGCAGTCGAAGATACCCTTCCCCTCCTCCGAGTAGAGGTTGTAGATGAAGTCGGTGGTGTAGTTCTCGTTGCACCGCTCGTTCCTGCACCAGGGGAGGGAGATGGGCTCATGAGGGGGTGACATGAGCGCGGCAGGTCTCAGTTGCCGTTGCCTCCCCCCCCGCCCCCATCCCATCCCACCCCAGGGACGTACCTGAGCACCAGCCCCCTCTTCACTGTCGTCTTCATCTTCTCAGTTAAATGCTCCACGTTGACCTACACGGATCATGAAATGGGCATTGTGGGGCTTGGAATTGGGAATAAATGTGGCCTGGGACCATGGTGATGCCTGGAGTGGGGGTACATGGGATGTGGGGGGGTCCCCAACCTGCAGGTCGTGGATGTTGAAGTGTTCCTCGTAGATGTAGGCAGCATCGGCACCGGCCGCCAGCCCCGCCATGGTGGCCAAGTAGCCACAGAAGCCGCCCATGGTCTCGATGATGAAGACGCGACGCTTGGTCCCGGCCGCCGACTGCTTGATGCGGTCACAGGTCTGTGGAGGTGGAAGAATTGGGGTGGAAAAAAGGGATTTACGTTAACGGGAGTTGCTGCTGTTAAATGGGGAGAGGGGGCTGGGGGGTGCGGGGCCGCACTGTGGTGATGGTGTTGAGCGCGGTGTCAGCGCCGATGCTGAAGTCGGAGCCGGGGACGTTGTTGGAGACGGTGGCGGGGATGATGCAGAGCGGGATGCAGAGCTCCTCGTACTTGGCCCTCCCCTCCATCAGCTCCAGGCTGCCCGTGAAAGCCTGCGGGCAGCAGGGCGCAGGGTCTCAGCACGGGCACGGTGCCGGCAGCTGCCTACGCCCTGCCACCCCTTCCCTGCTCACCTCGAAGCCGCCAATAATGATCAGCCCGTGGATGCCAAAGTTGCTGATGCTGGTGCTGATTTCCTCAAAGTATTTCTTGGGCAAGGTCCTGGGAGGGTGAAACCTCCCTGGCTGAGCCTGCCCAGGGTGGGGGGCTTGACCTGGGACCCCCCCCCCGCCATGGGTTTCCCCCCGGGCAGGGCATTACCTCTTTGTCCCCAGTTTGGATCCTCCCAGCCCTGTCCAGCTGCCGACCCTCTCCCAGCTGATCTCTTCCAGCTGGGGGGAAAGCACCAAGTTAGAGGGGAAGGGGAGAAGGATTTTGGGGTGCACTGGCCTTGCTGTGACTGTATTGGAGCAATATTGGGGTAACCCAGTGACCCCCAGGCTGGGGGACAACAGCGGGATAAAGCACAGTGGTGCTGGGGTTAGGAAGGGGGTCGAGCACCCCCATCCCAGGGGATCCCCTTTCCCTGTGGGGCTGTGGCTGCCGCTTTTCGGGGCCATACCCCATGCACCCCCTTTTCCTTGGGGATCGCACCTTCCCGTAGGCAAGCCCTTCAAAGCCGTCGTGCACCGCCAGCATCCGGTGCCCGTGGATGAGTCCGATCCGCACGGTCGACCTGACGGCCGCGTTCATGCCGGCAGCCGGGGCGCCCACGTTGAGCACGGCCAGCGTGTAGCCGCTCTGCGGGGACGAAGGAGCCAACGTTGGGGGGGTTGTGGGGTTCAAGGGGACCCCATCGCCCCTTCCCCGCTGCCGTACCTTGGTGGAGGGAGGGCGGATGTGTGCCAGCAGCTTGTACACATTCCAGTTGTTCTGGAAACTCCTGCAAAGGGGGAGAAGGTGGGTGTGGGAGCCCCGGGGGTGGCCAGAGCCCCGGGTCCCCGCCACGGACAGGGTGCAGACGCTCACCGGCCCCGCAGCTTCAGGGCATCATCGAAGCGTCCCTCGTTCATCGCCGTCGTCACGTCTTTGGTCTGTGGGGAGCAAAGATGGGTGGGTTGCAAAGATGGATTGGTTTGCACCACACCGGCTGGGTTTGCATTGCACCAAGCGGCTTTGCATCACGCCCGGCCAGGTTTGCATCATGCCGGGTGACTTTGCATCACACTGGATGGGTTTGCATTGCACCAGCTGGGTTTGCTCTACATTGGATACGTTTGCATCGCACTGCACGGCTTTGCATCGTATCGGCTGGGTTTGTGTTGCACCCGTCTGTGAGGAGTGCAGGGGGTGTTCCTGGGGGTCCTGTCCCCCCCCCCCATACTCACCACCTGGACGCACTCCATAAGGGGCAGGCGCACGGCTTGGTTGCCCGAGAGGCTGACGACGCAGGCGGGGGTCTCGGGGGTCCCCTCCAGCAGAGCCATGACGGCTTCAACACCCATCCGGCTGCCCTGTGGGGATAGGGATGGGGACGTTACCCCCCGGACCCCCCTCTCCCCCAGGGCCGGGGTGGGAGGGAGCTGCTTACCAGGATGCGGTCGAAGGCGGAGGGCGTCCCGCCACGCTGGACGTGGCCCAGGATGGTGACCCGGGTGTCATAACCCAAACGCTTCACCACCAGCTGCAAGACAGGGATGCGCCTGGATCCCATCCTGTAGTGGGACCAGGAAAGGGCTGGGGGAAAAAAAAAAAAGGGGGGCTTGCTCCCCCCCTCCCCGCTCACGTTTTTGATGTCATCGGAGGTGATGGCCTTGCCATGCTTGTCGATGGCGCCCTCGGCCACGATGATGATGTTCAACCTCGAGCCGCCCACGCGGGTCTGGGAGGGGGAAGACGGGGGGGTCACGACAGGGACGGGGACGGGGATGGGGACGAGGCGCCTGCTGGAGCCCGTCCTACCTCCGTCAGCCTCCGGCACAAGTGATCTTCCCAGTCATCCTCGGGGGGGGACTCGGGAATGAAGACCCAGTCGGCACCGCAGGCCAGGGCGGTGATGAGCGCCAGGTAGCTGGAGCGGGTGAAAAAGAGGCCGTTCAGGGCTTTTTCCTGACTTTCTTTATTGGGAGCCGGATCTGGGTGATGGCACGGGGACATACCCGCAGTGGCGACCCATCACTTCCAGCACGAAGGTCCGCTGGTGGCTGCGGGAGACACGAGTTTCATCCCACGGCAAGCCCGAGTGGGGCCCGGACACCTGGGTCCCCCCTGGTGTGGGGGACCCGGGGGGGTCCCCGTCACCTCTGGGCCGTGGTGGTGATGGCATCTACGATCTCCATGATACGGTGCAGCGCCGAGTCGGTGCCGATGGTCATGTCAGTGCCGCAGAAGTCGTTGTCGATGGAGCCCACCATGCCCACGATGTTCAGGTAACTCGACTTCTTCGCCTCTTCCGCCGTAATTCCCCCTGCCACAGGGTGGGACACCCCCTTTTCCCTCTGTGTCCCCCCCCCCAAACATCCCCATGGGGCCATACACCAGCACAAACCTCCAGCATGGGGAAAACCCCACCTTTTTGTGTACAACCCCCCTGATTTTGGTGCAGACCCCCCGATTTTGGTACAAAACTCCCTTTTTCTTTTCACCCTGAAGAAGAAATCTTGGGGGGGGTCCCATGGAGGGGGACACACACGTACCCACTTTAACCAGCTCAGCCAAGAGGCTGCTCCACTCGGCCCGGAAGGTGTCGGCGCCAGTGAGGCTGCCATCGCCGCCGATGACGCAGAGGTTGGTGATGCCGCGTTTCACCAGGTTACGGGCGGCTTTCAGGCGTCCCTCCCGAGTCCGAAAATCCTGGCACCTGGCGCTGCCGATGACTGTGCCCCCCTGTGGGACCCCCACATGGGTGCTGGGTCACCCCCCCCCCAGCACCCCTGTGTCCGTCTGTCCATCCCTCCCCCCCCCATCCCGGCTCCGGTTTCGGGTTATTTTCAGGCTTGACCCCCGGTGCCGTGGCGTAGGGTTACACCGTATCCCCCCCAACCCCTGCCATCAGTGCACTGAGCTGGCTGGGCTCAGCCGCTGCTCACCAGCTGCAGCATCATGGAGACGCTTTCCCACGTGGCCTCCTTGATGTTGTCCCCACCGTCCACCAGCCCCTGATAGCCCTGGGAGGGGGGGACACAACCTGGTGTTGAAACGACCCCCCTCCAGGGTTTGGGGGGGTGTCTGGGAAAAGTGGGGGGGGTGGGTGGGTGTCAGCACCGACCTCGTGCACGAAGTAGACCTTGGCACCGGTGTAGATGCCCACCCGCACCACGGCGCGGACGGCTGCGTTCATGCCTGGGGGAGGAGGAGGAGAACGTCACCCTGGGATGCCCCCAAGGACCCCCCCAAAGCCATCATTTCCCTCCACCTTGCACAACGCTCAGCTTGCCCCCCCCCAAGCCCTCCGCCTCCCCCCCTCCGGCACGGATCTGGCCCCGCAGCTGCCCGAGTTATTTTTGCCCCGTTGACATTTAGCAGCGGTGCCGCATGACACTGGGTGACAAGCACGGTGGTGGTGGGGAGCCAAGCGGAGACCCCCGCAGGCTGGATGAGGCCCCCACCCCTCCCAACTGTGGGGTACCCCCCCCATCCCCGGGGTCACCTGGGCAGAGGACAAGCTTTGGGCTGAATCCCTGCGTTTTTGGGCAACGCCAACACTTCTCTGGCGTTGGCTTCACGCCAGAGTGCTGCCGCCGTCCCTTCCAGCCCCCCCAAATTTTGGCAGGGGGTACGTGCACCCAGACACCCCCCTCCACCCCAAAACTCCCCTTAACTCTACCCCACGGCTTCCTCACCCCACCGTCCCCCCAAGGTCACCCCGCAAAACTGCAACCCGGAGAAAACTACTGGAGCAACTCAACCATCCACAGGATCTGGCCACAAAGTCCCGTTTTCACCTGGTTTCTCCCCAAAATAGGGCCTCACCCTCACACAACCACTGGCTTTCGGGGTCACCGGTGTGTCCCTTACCCTGGGCGTCCCCCCCGGAGGTGAGGACGGCAATGGCTTTGCCGGCACCCAGGTTCTCCGTGTGCCCATGTCCTGGCGGTGTCTGCGCCATCTTCTTGGCTGGAAAAAGAGGAAAATTGGGTAAAAAAAGGCTGGGAAGGGTGATGAGGTCCCCCCCGGTCCTGCTGGCACCTGCAGACTGGCACCCACAGCCCCGCCAGTCCCTAAATTGGGCCCCTGGAGGGAGGGACGGCCTGCTGGCAGCGGGTGGGGGGGGATGTCCCCTCCCTGGTACGGTGGGGGCATGGCGGGGGGGCATGATCCTGCAGGTACTGGTCTGCCCTCCTTACTGGTTCCAGTCTGTATTCCCTGTTGGTAACAGTCTGTATTCCCTGCTGGTACCAGTCTGTATTCTCTACAGGTACTAGTCTGCCCTCCTTACTGGTACCAGTCTGTATTCTCTACAGGTACTAGTCTGCCCTCCTTACTGGTCCCAGTCTGTATTCCCTGCAGATGCCAGTCTGGCCTCCTTACTGGTTCCAGTCTGTATTCCCTGCTGATGCCAGTCTGGCCTCCTTACTGGTTCCAGTCTGTATTCCCTGCTGATGCCAGTGTGTCTTCTGTACCGGTACCAGTCTGTCCTCCTTACTGGTGCCAGTCTACCCTCCTTGCTGGCACCAGTCTGTATGCCCTGCCAGTGTGCTGTCTTTAGTGGTACCAGTCTGTCCTCCTTACTGGTGCCAGTCTACCCTCCTTGCTGGCACCAGTCTGTATGCCCTGCCAGTGTGTCTTCTGTACCGGTACCAGTCTGTCCTCCTTACTGGTGCCAGTCTACCCTCCTTGCTGGCACCAGTCTGTATGCCCTGCCAGTGTGCTGTCTTTAGTGGTACCAGTCTGCCCTCCCTGCTGATACCAGCAGGCACTGACCTGGCGGGTGTCCCCCCCTTGGGGCAGGGGGGAGGAAGGTGAGGAAGAGGAGGATGGCGGCGAGGGAGAGTGCGGCCGAGATGAGGAGCCGGGAGGTCTCGGGGGAGAGCTCGGGGATGGTCACCATCGCCCGCCCGCCGCTGTCACCAGAGCTGCTGTCACCTGAGTGGCTGTAACGGGATCGGCTGTAACAAGATCGGCTGTAGGGATCGGCTGTAATGGTATTGGCTGTAAGAGGATCCGCTGTAGGGATCAGCTGTAACGGGATCGGCTGTAACGGGATCAGCTGTAACAGGATCGGCTGTACGGATCGGCTGTAATGGGATTGGCTGTAATGGGATGGGCTGTAGGGATCACCTGTAATGGGATCACCTGTAATGGGATTGGCTGTAATGGGATGGGCTGTAGGGATCACCTGTAATGGGATCGGCTGTAATGGGATCGGCTGTGGCAGGAGCGCCCATGGGGACCAGCTATAACGGGATCAGCTGTAATGGGATCGATTTGCTGTAATGGGAGTGCCAAAGGGACAGGCTGTAGTGGGATCGGCTGTAACAGGTTCGGATGTAATGGGATCGGCTGTAATGGTATCGGCTGTAACAATATTGGCTGTAACAATATTGGCTGTAATGGGATGGGCTGTAACAGGATTGGCTGTAGCGGGTGCGCCCACAGGGACAAGCTGTAATGGGATCTGCTGTAACAGGATCGGGTGTGCCGCAACAGGCTGTGACAGGATGGGTTGTAGGGATTGGCTGTAACGGGATCGGCTGTAGGGGTCACCCGTAACGAGATTGGCTGTAGGGATCAGCTGTAACAGGATCGGCTGTAACAGGATCGGCTGTAACGGGATCAGCTGTAACAGGATCGGCTGTACGGATCGGCTGTAATGGGATTGGCTGTAATGGGATGGGCTGTAGGGATCACCTGTAATGGGATCGGCTGTAATGGGATGGGCTGTAGGGATCACCTGTAATGGGATCGGCTGTAATGGGATGGGCTGTAGGGATCACCTGTAATGGGATCACCTGTAATGGGATTGGCTGTAATGGGATCACCTGTAATGGGATCGGCTGTAACGGGATCAGCTGTAACAGGATCGGCTGTAGGGATCACCTGTAATGGGATTGGCTGTAATGGGATGGGCTGTAGGGATCACCTGTAACGGGATCGGCTGGAGGGGGCACCCGTAACGAGATTGGCTGTAGGGATCGGCTGTAATGGGATTGGCTGTAACGGGATCGGCTGTAGGGGTCACCCGTAACGAGATTGGCTGTAATGGGATGGGCTGTAGGGATCACCTGTAATGGGATTGGCTGTAATGGGATGGGCTGTAGGGATCACCTGTAATGGGATTGGCTGTAGGGATCGGCTGTAATGGGATGGGCTGTAGGGATCACCTGTAATGGGATCGGCTGTAATGGGATGGGCTGTAGGGATCACCTGTAATGGGAT